CTAGCAAAAATAGCTAAAGATTATTTATCTATCCAAGCAACCAGTGTTCCAAGTGAACAGTTGTTTTCACTGGCTGGTCATACTATCAGAAAAACCAGAACAAGACTTCAACCAGAAACAACCAGAGCATGTATATGCTTAAAAAATTGGATTAAAAATGATTTAGGTTTAAGTGGTAATAAAGACATTGGAGAAATTAATATTGATAATGATTTAGTAGTAGAAAAGGATGACATTGATTGTTTGATCTATTTAGATGAATGATATAATAGTTAAAAAATTTTAGATGCATTATTTCATTTGTTAAAAATTTTGTGAAAATAAATAAATAAATTTTGAATTTTAAAAAAGACTGTTCTAACTGTGTAATGATCTTAAGGACTGGTCTTAGGACCGTCAGTCCAAAACAGTCCAGACCAAATTTAAGACCGTGGTCCAGTCCGTCCCAAGCATGGATGGACTGGTCTTGGACCAGACCAGACTGGACAGACCATTTAACATCACTATTCTTTACATTCCTTGCATTCTAATATTAATCCTTGAGATGACCATTTTCCTCTTTCTATTAACACTTGTTTTATACCTTTAGGTTTGTTTTTAAGTTTCTCATCAGGATGTGTGGATGGAAAAACCATTGATTGTGGCTGTTTATTTTGTCCAAAGTAAGTATCACACATAACAGGTTGCTTGCCACCTGGTTTTAGATTCATTCGTTTTGCAACCAAAGCATCATTTCTGAATGCAGCATGGTTAGAACTATTATCAAAAGCAAATACAGCTATGCAATCTGGATATAATGCCTCAAAAATAGGGATTGCTTTATATTCGATTTGCTCAAGAAGATGTTCTGCTGTCCAATAACCATCTTGATTTATGCCAGGCTTTAAATAACATTGTGCTTCTTCAGGTACATATGGATGTTTCTCTATGTCAGCTTGTTGCAAACGAAGGCATCCATTAACTTCTGTTAAAAATTCACTAACCATAATTGATCTGCCATTTCCCTTTTTTCTCAGTGGCATCTCACCATTCTTGGTCCACACTCCACGTTTACCATCATTAGAATAGAAAATACTCTCATCATGAACTACAAGAATTCTTTCTTTTTCTCCTTCAGGTAAGTTAGGGATTATTCTATCCATTGTTTCACCTTCATATTTGGACATATACTTCTCATGATCAAACATTTTTTCTAAGAACACTCTTCTATATTGCAGAACATCTTCCCTTTCATGTCCATCATAATACATTCCTTGATGATGTAGTTTAAAAGTGTAACCAAGAATGTTTAACCATCTTTTTGCAGTACTTAAAGAAATATCTTTTTTTTTTGCAATTCCAATGTTGGGCAACAAATTTTGTTCAATAAATGTTTTAAAAGAAGATGGTGTTGCATGGTAATTTTTTTCACGAATCCAAACTTGACATTTTTCTGCAACATCTTCATCATCAATTAATCTAACAGTTTTTTGATGTTTACCATGTCTAGACATTGGAAGTTTCATCACAATGAATTAATTAATTATGATCATAATAATAACCCCAAAATTGGACAAAAGCAAAAAAGTAATAAAGATAAAAGTTATCATCAAGGTGGAACCATACATGCAGCCCAAACTATTATGACTTTTGACATGCTGTAATGTCATAATGTCGTAAATATATTTAGACATCCATTTTCAAATTGTCATAAGTCATAATGTCATAATCATGCTGTAATGTCATAATCATGCCATAATGTCATAATCATGCTGTAATGTCATAATCATGCTGTAATGTCATAATCATTCTGTAATCTCATAATCATGCTGTAATCTCATAATCATGCTGTAATCTTATAATGTTATAATCAGGTTAAAATATTGTAATTATGTTTAAAATATCAAAATTATACATGCAGCCCAAAGTATTTGTTGATGTCAAAAGTTAAAATATTCCAATGCCAAAAGTCAAAAGTATACTATTAAAAACATAACTGTAACACCCTTTATGACATGTGTAACCTCCTCCTTTATGACAGTGTCAAAATAACTTTGGTATTTTGGAAATATTATGGTTTTAGGTAAAAAGACAAAATATTTTGGCAAATGCAAAAACAATTTTGGCTAACATGCTTGGTTTATTTATATTATTTATTCATTAATGAAAATACTATACATATCATAATAGAACACATTAATTTTGTCTTGAATCAAAATGTTTATTTAAAATTGTTTCTTCATCAATTCTTCATCTCTGCAACTTCTACTTTTCTTTGTTCAATTACAACACTAACTTGAATTTTCAAGAGTTCACATAAGTCTTGATTGTTCACATTAAAATGTCTCTCCTTCCCCTGCAATATCATTTTCCCCTGGTTGTATGACCTCTTCTTCCTCTTCATATTCTTCAATGTTGTCAATTTCTTCTGTCAGCTCCAAATCATTTTCATTTTCTTCTAAATCAAATTCTATAATTGATCTATTTACTTCTTCATTAAATTTGTCATCATCTACATCATCTACAGGATAATTGAGCAGACTTTTCCCATTAGATATGTAATAAGTATGCAATCTGGCCATTTTATTGAGTCTTTCCACATTCAAGCTAAAAAAATATTAATTTAATACAAGTTTAATATTTACTATATATATTAAATATACAATAAAAAAAGTTTACCAAGTCCTGTGTTTTGACATAAACCAACCTAAAACTGGGAAAAGATGTTCGCAATTTACATTATGAGGTATTATACTAAGAATTTTTAATGACAACATTTGAATATAGTTTTTTTCTTGTTTGCAACCAACCCACCAAGTTTTTGGTGTTTCAATTCCTTCAACAAATTTAACATAATAAGAATACTCGTATGCTTCATATGCATGTAATTGTGCAATTAAAATATCAGTATTTGTTGATGTTTTTTTGACTGGAATCCAAATATGAAGTGCTGCTTGACAAATTAACCTCAATGTTTCATTTCTTGTACCTACACCTCTATATTTGGGATGTAAAAAATATGCAATATTCCAATGTGAATTCTAATTTACAATTATTTTAGTATACCAAATGCACAAAATTTGCTTTCAAGAATTTAATTTATAAATAATCTGCTTAAAAAAATTTTGCATCATTAATAAATTGTTAATGTTACCATCAAATTGATTCACTCAATTATAAAAAAAGCAAGATTTGCGTTAATATGATCAGGTGCTTAATTTGGTGGTGACATTCAATGGAGTTTATTTCATACATTACAGTTGAACCCTTGTTTCAACGGATTTTATATTTAAATCGTGTTTCAACAGACAGCAAATTTTTTGGTAGGATTTTAGTAATAATAATAAGTATTAATCGTGTTACAACGGATTCACGTGGTATAGATTTTATAAAAAAAAAAACACATTACCATGTTAAGATTCAGTGTATCAAATTCATGTGCATGGTGTGCACAGTGCACAACCCCCTTAAACTGTGCACAATGAGATAAATATTTTTGTGCAGACTCACAACAAAAATTTTAAATATAGTGCACAAATTCAATGAGAAATTTTTGCATTATTACAGTTTTCTATGTATAATGCACATAAAAAATCAAAAAAACTAAACTATATACTTACAATTTTTTGTGCATACATGCACAATTTTTAAACAACTTTTACACAATTCCTCAAAAAATTTTGTACAACATGCACAAAAATTGATCGGCAAATTTTATACACTGTTAAGATTAATTCAAAATCCCTTCATTGCTAAATAATAATATAAACAAATTGAATAATTCACAAAAATATCAATATGATTTTACATGAATAATTCTCACATTACTAAATAATAATATTAATCAAAATTTTCCATAATGATTTTACATGAATAATTAAACATTACTAAATAATAATATTAATCAAATTCCATATTTCTAAATAATGATTTTACATGAATAATTAAACACACATTATTAAATAATAATATTAATCAAATTTTCCATCCTGAGCCATTTTTATATTGTATAGGTTCATTTCCTTCTGAAGAATTTTTAATAATCTCTTCAATATCATTAATTTGATTAACTTCACTATTTCCATATAATTTTTTTATATTACCGTAAAAAGAATCGCATATAAATTTTGTATGCCCTGGAATCATAAAGTTAACTGTAATCTCTTCATACCAACCCAACATTACTAACCAAGTCCAAAACCATAAAGATAAGTTATTTTTATTTTGCCCAGAACAATTATCACAAGTTATATGTAATTTTTTTTTTCACATCCTTTGCAAAAATTTGCAGAGCTTGATAAATTAATTTAAAGTAGCATTTGCCCCCTTAGATTTACCTTGAGGAAGTTCATCTTCTATTAAAAAATTTAATTGTCGATTTTTTTCTCCCTCAGTTTTGCAAACTCCAAATAAATGAACTGCATAGCCTGATAAAAAATACCATGGAGTGCAGAGTATGGAGTGTGTGCATTTATCCCCAAGTCCTGAGGTTGGGACCAAGAGATAGCATGCGTTTGTGGAGGGTGTGCATTTATGGAGGTCTGACTGTATATAAAATCATTTATAAATTCAAAATTTCCATGTTAAGGGTCATAGATATCAAAGGACCAGTCTTTTAAACATCTGTAATATTTGTAAGATATCACACTTTTATATTTACTTTTGAATATCGTAATATTGATATATTCTCATTTTGTGAACTTGGTTACCAAATCAGTCATTGATGATAAACTTCATATTTCTTTTTAAAAGCAATCAGGTTTAATTTGTTGCTATTTGGTGTAATATGGTTACTAGCATCACTGGATAATTGTTCTGCAGGAATAGATTTTGCAGATATTCTCTAGCTAATTTTTCTAACAGAGGAAATTTTTCTTTCCACCATGTTAGTAGATCAACATCTTTCATGATAAATAAATAAATTGATATTTCATCTTGTTCATCACCATCATCATCAATTGTCCTACTGACTCTAGCTGTTAGAATATATATACATACTTTTTGTTGTTCTGTGGCTGAAAGTATATTAATAAATAGTTTATTGAGTTGTTAGTGTTTGATACATTTAGTAATCTATTGGCCACATAAACCATTCAGATGTTCTAGAGAAATAGGTACCTTTACTTGAAAAATCTATCTTCAATAAAATATAGCTTTCTCTGTATGAGTCTTCCATGTTTCATCAAAGTTTTTTATTTTTATTTTATTTGGTGGTCTACATAATCTATCATTGGTAATGGACTCTGATGAAAAACTAGAATTTGTTTCTTCTTCATCATTAATTAAAATAATGCCATCGTTTACTGAAGGAGCTTATTCGGGAAATTATTACGAATATTTGAATATATAAAAATCATTTGACACCAATTTCGAATATATTAATTAGTGTGAATATTCGAATCTTGATTTCTGATATTCAAATAATTAATATGGAAAATCCCTCAGATCCATTAAACAATCATAGTAATATAATATTAATGGTTTTATCCGTTAAATAAGAGAAATAATAATAATAATTATTATTATTATGGTAATAATTTTATCTGTTAACCCACTAAATCCTTTAAGGTTATCATTCTTATCATTTTTATGCTGCATTAATACAAAGCGATTATTATTCTAATGTTTTTATCGTTTGTAAATAAATCATTTTTTCATAATAAATAACGTTAACGATTAATTATTTATGAATCTGACAAATCCAATGTCAACCAATATCGATATAAATATCCACCAGTGTTTACGCACAACAGCATCTTATTTTTTTATTTTTTTTTTGTGGCAGTAGCATTAGTGCAATTGTTCCACATAATCGATGGTTTATAATAAACATGACGCAAATTACACAACAACACATTGCATGGCAAGTAAAAGTTGTTACACGACCGCCTAATTGTCTTCGATAGTAATAGTACAGTTTTTTTTAAAATTCGTCATAATTTTGTATGGATTTATTTTCTTTGACCTTTGAGCTATATTTGTCTTCTTTTATAGTAAATATAAAATTTATTAGATAATCGCCTTCAGATTAAAGGATACTAATTTTTATGTACATTTAAATACTGTATATAGTGTGCGTGTGAATCTAAATGGTTTTGAGAGAGAATCTACGCCAAGTCTAAATACAAACGTAAATCTTGTACCCTAAACTTAAACCTAAAAGCTTCGAGTCACAGCATTGTAACGCACCAGTTTCATGTTTTCAATGATAAAGCTAAAATACAAAATACTAATATGGAATATTTAAAATTACAATTGTAATTAGTATATTATTAATCAAGTTTTGTATGACGTATACCGGACTTATTGGATCAGACCAGTCCAATGAATCCTGGCCAACTCTAAAGAGTGGCCAACCATGGTTCAGCATTTAAATTAATGATGACATAATTTTTTGCTATTAAAAATATCCTTTAAAATTATATTTTTCAAACATAGTAAAGATATTTTATAATTCTTGATAAAAAGAAGGATCATTTAAATCACCTTCAAAATTTTCTTCTATTTCCCATTTTCTTTTCTGTCTATAATAGCTGGATGTCTAGTACATTTGATTCTTTCAACTGTAGTTTCTGCATCTGTATCGGTACCCAATTTAACCATTCCTCATTTGCGAAGTTATATCAAAATTTACAATTCAATAAACAGTTACGACAAGTTTTTTTTAGTTAAAAGTTATTTAATATTTATATTAGGAATTAATGCAGATACCCAAGTGGTTATGACCATTTGGTTTATCAGGTAAACCATGAAAGTATCTTTTATATCTGTTGTGCGTGAATTTCAAATTAGCCAATCAGGATTTTGTATTCAAACACCCACCCCAAAATTTAATCAATCTGATTTTCACAACATATCAATTATTTCCTCGAACAGGCATTAATAAAATTCTGATTATTCTTTGTGAGAAGGTTTTATTTTTGCATAGCAAAGTCCAAGTAAAGTCTAGTCCAGTCCAATTGGACTGATCCAATGTACAATTATGCCAAGTGGACCGAATGGTCCAAAGTTCAATAAAATGATTGGACTGGCAACCTTGACAACACCGATTGCATCTGAAAAGCATTTCATATGACCTATATATAAATCAACGCTGTCTATAACGTATTCACATATCTAAATGTAAAATGCAGATCTCTCTACGAAAACTTGTGATTATTTAAATAATGATATAAGACATGTACAGAAAACAAATAAAATGCAATATAAATCCTTGAATTCTAAATTAAAATCATTACTATAAATTGTTTCTGATTTCTCTTTAAAAAACAACTTTGATATTCATATAATCGAATTTCTAATTCAAGTCTAAATTAATTTATTTTGTTTCGTTATTTTTAAAATGTCATTAATAAGAGAAAATCTTTAACTGCTTTGGTAAAAAGAGAGGTTTGTCTAGCAAAACAGACAACGCCGATTCCAACAAACAAAGAATTAGCAACAACTTGAAGTCAAAAAAAAAAAAATATAGGATTTAATTAAAAAATACAACCTAAATTAGATGAATAGTATTTTTTTTTTAATGTATTATAAGTAACAAACATTTATGTTTCGATATTAATATTGCACATGACTTCATACATATAATGATCGAGGATTTTCTATGTCGGATTCTCTCTATAATAATAATAATAACATATATTTTTTTCTAATCCCAACGATTCGTTATAGAGATAGTGAACTGTATTATTATCTCATCTGTGTCTAAAACATATTGCGTATGTGGGTAAATTTGGTTTTTTTTTTTTTTAAGTTCTCAAGTAAAAATTTTTTTGTTTATGTCAAATTGAAGAACAGACCAAATATACGGATATCCAAATTATTTGACGATTAAATAGTAATAGTAATTATAATAGTCGGCAAACATCTGGCAATAATAATATTAATATGATATTATAAAAGAAACCTACTATAATGATTGAAAACAAGCTCTTCGCACAATGGCAAATCACTGGTTTATTTAATTCTATTGTAGTGTTAGAACCTTCTATTTTTACTATATATCTGCATCTGCATACATACATATATAAAAAAAATTATGATGTATAAATGAATGCTGAAATTTTGCCACAAAACTAGTAAATAAAATTTTTGATAAAGAGCACAATTTTGGAATGGGCGTACCTGATATGCATACAGTGTTCGAAAATTCGACTTAAATTCGACTGCGTCTTAACATAAAACTAGTCTAATTTTAGAAATTATCTGCAGCTATTTCCAGATTTGGTTAGAGTCGATATATCGAAAACTGTATGTAGTAGTGGAAAATCCCCATCGATCGTCGATCGTTAACAGTATTTAGCAATTCCAAATTTGGAATAACATTTAGGGCATGATGCTTACCCCAAATTTATATAAAATTATTTTTCGGACCTACATAGGTCTATTTTTGAGATCATGGTTTTATATGACACGAAAAAATTGCCAACATCTTTACAATAAAACAAATACATTCTTTACAATAACAAAACATTTAAAATCAAATTTTTTTTCATTGTTCTCCCCAACTTTTTATCATGAAGGAGAATATGAGGAATATTCTAGCTTGCTTTGTCCAGAAAATAATGATTTTGGCCTGTGAAGAGAAGATATTTAATAGATTTGTTAGTTGGGAACCATTTAAAATAACATCGAAAAATTATATGCCAGGTAAACTTGATAAATTGGTTGCTTATTTATATATATATTTAGATCGGAGGAATTTGATTATAATAATACTTGATATATGGCTCACGTGACATGACCATAAAACCAATACAGTAAATTTTAAAATGGTAATAGTCAATTACTTGCTGAAAAAAACTATTTTTTTTCAATGTTTTTAAAGCTTGTTACATTATTTTGTTCAAGAAAATCAAAAGACATTTACAGCTTCGTTTTATACAAGAACATCTTCCTCTTTGGTTGGCACTTCATTAATCCCATTATCATCAATTGATATATATTCCTCTGCTATTAATGCCGTTAATTCTGAACTGAAATTTAATCTATCAATTAAATTAAATTGTCTCTTTGATCATTTATAATATTTTGTATTAATATTATTTTTTTTTTTTTAAGTGTGGGAAATTATATATAATATTTAATACGCAAAAACAATGGTAATGGTAATAAAATAATTCTATAAAAATGGGTCATCCGTTTGAAACGAGTACAAAAAAATGGACACAAAAAATTTGCGTATTGGGGCGTACATATACATTATAACTAATACTAAAATAATTTAGTCTCAATTAGTGGTAAAATACAAAATATGTAACCAATTACATCCAATCACATCGCGTCAAACAAGATTTTTTTTATATATAGATAAACCTTATTATCTATTATAGTTAAATGATTGATCCCGCACATGATGCAGGGAAAATCGATTTTTTAATATTGTTCGTCTGAAATAAAAAAATATATTCAAGGGTAAACCTGTTCACATCAGTTTGTGTGACCATTGATTTCGAACGCATTTTTTTCTCACCAATATCAAGTTTGTTAGTCTAGGCCAGTTTTTTTTTTATACATGGTTCACTTTGGTATTGCATTAGTTCATTTTTTAATGTTTTAAGAAATATAGTTTATGCAAATGGAATTTATTGACAAATTTTATTTGTTTTGTTTTTATCATAAGAAATAATGATGCATAATATTAATAAAATAATTGTCACCACAAACAAACATAAACCAATCAATCGAAAATGATAAGAAAATCATCTATTGGAACAGGAATTAAAAAGTAAACCGTTAGAAGAAAACAAACCAAACTGACCTAAATAAATACCTCCTGTTTGTTACTTTGCTCCATTTTTTATTCTAACGGCTTTTTGATCTAATAAGTAAATTTTTTACCTTTCAACATTTAAATAAACGGTCAATAATATTGTCTTTCCTTCTCTTCCTCCTCTCATTCTTTCTTTTCTTTTTCTTATTAACTAGGCTATATAAAATGTCGGATCCAGTACCTAGTGACACAGAAACTGTTACATATGCGGTAACCGAGGAGCAAGGGAAAGCTAATCTTCTGTTTTCATTGGTTGAAAGCATAGTATCATTGGTTGCAGTTACATTTGGAATTTTAGTATTTTTTTATATAAGATATAAATATCCCCGATTAGTCGACAGGGTCACGTTTCGACTTGCACTTGCTACAATGATATCAGACTTTGGCATTTGTATAGCTCTATTAATCAATTCAGCCTTTGGATCACCCTTCGGCTCAACATGTACAGGCGTTATCTGGGCATATGTATTTTTAAGTCTTACGTCAATTTTCTTCCCTACTTGCATTGCCATCGTAAGTATATCTTTTATTGGTCAATCAATCAATCAATCAATTAATCACTTTTATTTAAAATATTAATTAGAGATTGTGATCATGTGAATTTAACAGAACCTACAAATCGTGTTCATTAACGAGTACAGGGGTAGACGTAAATTAGAAATGTTTTATTTCATAGTTTCGACTGTTTTGGCCTTAATTCTATCATTACTTCCGTTCGCCGATCACATGTATGCTTGGAATTATCCTGAAGGGTAAGTTTTTACATCTAATCGTTAATTTACTACGATATCATCATTAACTACATTAACTATGTATATAATCTTTATTTATAATAGTGGATGCTTTTTCCGTGACTCGGGTACAAAATTGAGTATTACATGGCAATGGGCATCATTTTACGTTTGGGAAATAATTTGTATACTATATTGTATAATAATATTAATTTGTGTTGCGGTGAAATTATACAGAGTGGCAAATCAAACAATAACAACTCATAGTGGCAATCTTAGTGGTCAAACAGTGACAAGTCGATACGAAAAGAATGTTTTAAGGAACAAGGCCATCATATCATTAGTGGTTAAAAAGGTTATATGGTATCCTATTGTGCCCATAATAACTCAGGCACCAAATTTTTTAGTCGAAACTGATATTTATGTTAACCAGCAAATCAATTATGTATTTTTAATAATGTCTAGTTTCAACGCAGCTCAAGGTAACTAATTAACTAATAATAAAATCATGCCACATGACTTGGCAATTTATTATCAAATATTTAATGATTTTTCTTTAGGTTTTCTCAATACCATAGTATTTATGCAAGATCTCGCGGTTTCTAGAGCTTATAAATTATTGAAATTACATTGGTGGTATGAGCACGTTAACAAATATGAAGAATCATATCCCCATTTATCACGTAATAAAGCATTTAATCCATTAGATTCGGTTGATGTTGATGTTGATCATGACGTAAAAAGTGAAGAAGAACAACAAAGTCAGAAACAACCTTCTTTTGCTGAAAAATTACGATATAATTTGTTAACCTCATTACTTAATAAACCAAAAGGAGATGTGCTGTTGATCGAATACGATCAATATATAACGACAAGAGATGATGAAGACATAGAATTGTCACCAACATCAGTGCCTGATAAGCCGGATGATGATGTTGGTGGAACAGTAAATGATGACGAGGGTAATGTGGGACAATTTAATAAAAATGTATTAAGCAAACTGTAAGATATTAAGTAATTTTATTTAAATAATAAAATAATAAATAAATATTTATGATTCTTTTTTATAAAAGTAAACTAATTTTTGTCGTGAAGTGATTTTCGTCCTGGTTGTGTAAACGAGTGATCTGAAAATATTTATTATTAGAGAAAATTTGGGACCAAACCGGGTTGGATCCGGTTTAGGCCCAAGAATCCAGTCTGATTCTACAATTACTTTGAGTTACTTGATAAAAAATATGCTTTACATAAAAACATCCCTTATTTTTTTGCACATCAGGAAATTTTCCCCACCGCAATATTATATCCATAAATTTTAATATAATATGTAAAGTTGTAATATTTGCATAAAAAATTATGTAATATTTACACTCAATGTAATAATTGCATAATTTTTGTATGCTTATTTGCATAATATTACGGGCCCGCCGTAAACTTACATAATAGCGTAATAATTACGTAAACCGCGTTAGAAAAATTTTTCTGATGCACTTAATATACAAGTGTAAATCCTGCTTATTCTTTTTTGCTATTATAATAATTATTAATGTTAATGCTAATCATGTTTAAATTGTTAATTAATTATTAGGATTTATTCTGATTAGTGATATTTTTGTATTGGTTTCAAATAGATTGAGGACTTTAACTGAATAAAAAATTCATCACTTGATTCGTCTTTTTCGTGTATGTTTGGATGCAGAAAAAGTATTTGTCCTCTTAGAAATATTGCAATATCTGATTTATTAATTCCCTTTTGTATGCGTGTTAACTTTAGATGTGTTACTTTTGGATTTTATGCTCGTTCGGTTGTTTCGAGTGGTCTGGTTCACTTTACCGACACCCACTTTACCGACAAGATACTTTACCGACAACACGCGGGGTTACATTTAATCTCTACGCATCAAACAACTAATAAAATGCTAAAATATCACGTCGCGTGTTGTCGGTAAAATGTCCGGGTCCCGTTTCCGAGTCGAGTTCTGTATTTGACAAATTTTAGTTCCTTGTCACAGCGGATGAACCGGTTTGAACCGGTTATTGATCATATTAACAGGCCAAATTAAATCATATTAATGCGAATCGATTTTCCAAACATTTAAAACAATTATGAAATTTACCTTTAATTAAAAAAAAATATTTAAAGACTGTAAAATCATATTCCGAAAAAAACTACCTCTCGTGGTGTGGTATGAATTGTATTTGCAAATGTGGCCAAATTATTTCCCAGAGTCAATTGTCAAGTTGCAAACTTTTAAAAGAAATTCTAAGAGCAATAATAGGATTTTTAGATCATTTATCTTCCAGTATCTTGAAAGTTAGTGTATGTTGTTGGCGTATGACCAGAATCAGTGTAACCGACATTTTCTATTATAGAAATGTCGAACTTTTCACACAAAATGCTACAACTTTGAAAGCAAAAAATTCTATGAAATTTTATAACAATGAAATGATTAAACCGATAGAAATGAAGCTTACGTCTTTAGCTTTGATTCCATCAGTTTTTACTTTTTCGTTATTGGCTTTTAAAGGTTGTCGATTTTAGTGTTGTCTTTAGATGACCTAATACCATAATAATAAATTATGCTATTACACGGGACGGGATAATTCTAATTGAAGTGGTAGGTCCTTAAGTGGGTAAAATTTTTGCTCAATTCATATTAATATGAAATCATGGGTAAAGGTTCACTCATGTGGTGTGAGGGGAAATTCTTGCTCCCAGTAAAAAAATGAATGAAGGTTATTTTTTTTCTTACACAGAAAATAACTATTTTAAAAACATGTAGTAAAAGGATTTTTACATCATAATTTAATATTTTGCTTTATAAAAAGGTAAATATTTTACAAAACAAAAATTTATTATGGCATCATCCAATTAAATATTTCTTATTATAATTTATAATTTTTTATAATAACCAGATATTATCATATTATAGTTTATATTTTTTTTATTTCTTAGGGAGTAAGTATTATGTTATGATTTATCATTTAACTTTTACAACACAAAATAAACATCATCTGATTAAATAAAATAAATTGATTTTTTATTTCTTTATAATAACCAGGGCGTAATTATTATATTATAATTATAATTTAACTTTTACAGCACAAAATAAAACATCATCTGATTAAATAAAACACAACTTTATTTCTACAAAAGTGAAATATTTATAATAAAAATTTTCTTTTTTCTACCGGCTGTTTTATAAAAAGTAAATAATGCCATTTAAGAGAAAAACCATATGTACTGTATCAATTATGTTAGCAACAGACTCATTTACCGCTGAATCAAAGTTTTTTGAACGAATTAGCTTCCGTCGATCACTCTTTGTTAATATTAATATATCTTGGTATGGTTTCACACTATAAGAATTCATATACGTCTGATTCTATTTTCATAATACCAGCGAGATCAGAATCTTCATTCTGGATTACTTCAATATTGCTTCTGGTGTATCATTCAATAAATTTAACCAATTATCATAGTTATGGACTGTAAATTGCCTTCTTTAGCTAAATAATAATAATAAAAAGTATTTAAAAAAAATTAGGAAATGGCATATTTTGAGAAAATTTACCATCGTAAACTAAATTTTTTCATTTACACTCTTAATACAGCCAGTTAAATGCTGTTATGTCAACAATTTCATGAGAAAAATTTGGCTGGATCTCCATCTTATCCCATATTAATACTAATATTAATATTGTTTTGCTACGGCGAAATAAAATAATTTTGTTTCATTATAAATTATTTTCGATATAAATTAGATTTAATAGGTATTGTTATCTCTTTTTGTTAATTAGATTCTCGGTGAACTAAACAATTTTCTCCGAAGGTAAAAAATTCATTTCACCCACCGGATCATCATTGTAAGAAAGTTCCTCTCTGATAAAAAATTTACCAGATAAGTTATTGAAAGTCGTATACAGTATATCCTTGAGAACTTGAAGATTTAATTAATTCCACTGCAGTCATTTCCGTATTGGTATTCTAAAAGGTTATATGATCGAAAGGCAATCATCGAGTATTCTTCAAAGCAATTATTCGATCATTTTATTATTAATACATACAGCAAAATTTGTTAAAATAACTTATTTTGCAACAACATCATCTATTTTGACAACCTTAGATCTAGCAGCAGCAACAGTGGTACAAGCGGTAGTATTACTAGAATTAATAAATTTAAATAATTGAATAAAACGAATAAAATAAAATATGCTAATCCAACTAAAATTTTTTCCTTAATCTTTGTATATAGTGATAATAATAATAAATAGTAGTAGCTGACATTTTCTTAAGTCATAGTACTAGTAACCGTAGACGGTTGGAACTCGTTAAACCGATGTACTTGATTTGGGCTCAAAGCATCGTTTTATTAAGTAGTCTTGATAAAATGAAGTTAATATATTTTTAAAGAAAAATTCGGTTTAAAAAGTTATACATCAAAATTTATATATTCGTCTACACTATGTTGACGTGCTAGCGAACTTTTATATAATAAAACGTTACCTCCAACGAATTTTAAAACGAGCAGCAAGGTCTTTATTCGTTGGAATAGGCTTCGATTGTTTTGGAACATATTTCTCTTCTTTCTTTTAATGTCAGTGTATTTTTCATTTTAACATTTTTAATGTGGAAACGTAAACCATTTATAAAATTATACGAAATAAAGCGAAGTTTCTTTCGATAAACCGAAACAATAGGAATATTCGCCTTATTGAGTTGATTTTTATTATAAAATGAATAGTAATAGGTAAACCAGGAAAACTCTGTTATAACAAAAATTCATTTTATCGAGTTACGTCTTATCGAGTTCCGACTTTAGTATATAGTAATATATATTATTATTGTAATTTATATTATCTTGTTAAAGAAATAAGACCCATATTTTATAAAACAAACAAATAATTCGAGTAAAACGGATAAAATGAATAATTCGAATAAGTTCTTTAATTAAGATTATTGCGAATAATTTGAACATGAATTTGTATTACGAATAGAAGCCCCGAGTGGAACAAGCAGCAGCGCTATAAGTGGATGCTAATTATAAAGTTAATTATTTAATAATCAGTGCTAGTTACTCAAAAACATCTACTTTGCATTGTACGATTCTTCGCTATTATCTATTTTTAAAACAAGCGTTTTGAAAAAAAGCACAATATTTATTTACTTCTGTTTTTTTAAATCCTTGCCATTTCATTGTTGTAATGATTATGAAGTTTAATGCCACCTTTGTTTCTTGAGAAATCCTCCCGATTAAGTATTGTATCTTTGAAATTTTTTCAATCCATGATAAAGAGAAGAAATTCGAGTACTATTGTACCATAACAAAAAAATTTATTGTTGTTGCCCTTCCTACTTAATGCATCAATAATTTGGATATTGATGTTGTTGAAGATAAGGGGAAAAAATGCAAATTTACATTTTTAATCCAATAATTTGTTCGTAATAAGTTGAACAAATGTAAAAAGTCCAAAATTGTGTTTTTTGAAATATTCTGATTCGTCCGTCTTCAAATAAGGTTCCATTATGAATTTTATATTATATAGATGAATTGAATACCCTTGTTCCGTTCCTGTTTCCTGTCCCTTGTTGTACAATACTTATTAGGTAATGGAAATCGGGATCAACTTTGAGCATACTTTACATAATACACAGGCAAACTCGATAAGTCGGCCGCATAATTTATATTATCAAGTACTTTAAACAATTGATTACTGCGGGCCGACTTATCGAGTTTGCCTGTGTAAATTTATTTTTTTATTAAAATGTCGGCTCATGAAAGGCAATGCCTTGCCATTGACATTACTAGTAGAACTATTTTTTGAACTGGATGAATACTTCGTTGTTATTGGGGTTGTGGAAATTGTTTGTTGCATAGCTATTTTTAATATTCTTGTTTTTTTTTTTTTTGGAATTTTTTTTTTTAAAAAATTGTTTCTAAGATCGTGTAACAAGGAACAGGAAACACCCTAATGTGTGTAACAATTATCTAAATTGTTACAATTCTTGCTTTCTTCTACTAATGACTTTGTATTAGGCTAAGTAGCCAACCAAATTTTCTTTAGGTAAAATATTTAGGAATGGCATTTAAATAAATTTAAAAGCGAAAATGGTAAAAAAATTAT